GTCTGTCTGTCTGTCTCTCAGTGTGTCTCCCTCCCTGTGTGTCTGTCTGTCTCTCAGTGTGTCTCCCTCCCTGTGTGTCTGTCTGTCTCTCAGTGTGTCTCCCTCCCTGTGTGTCTGTCTGCCTCCTGTGTGTCTCCCTCCCTGTGTGTCTGTCTGTCTCTCAATGTGTCTCCCTCCCTGTGTGTTTGTCTGTCTCAGTGTGTCTCCCTCTCTGTGTCTGTCTGTCTCTCAGTGTGTCTCCCTCCCTGTGTGTCTGTCTGTCTGTCTCTGTGTGTCTCCCTCCCTGTGTGTGTGTCTGTCTGTCTCTCAGTGTGTCTCCCTCCCTGTGTGTCTGACTGTGTTTGTATGTGTTGAGTAATAAATGTGGAAGCGTATCAGCATTGATGTCTTACACAGAAACCTCTCAATCCTCATTCTCATGGTCTGGAAACTCCATGATCGGCACAAAGGCCAGCTTTATGTGCATGTTTGTTTCTCTTGCAGTCACTGAGGATGACCATTCGGAACCAACAGAGGGCGCCGTGGAGGAAACTCCAGTTCCAGCTGCAGACAAGGTCTGTGAGAGATCTCGGCTCAAAGCCCGCTCCTTCGTCCGACACGTTACACACGGCTCTGAAGCCGTACACCCTGAGAGGGGACCTTCACATCCACGGGGGAGTTCCCCGGGGGGGTCCCTGGGATTTCACACCGTTCATTCATCTTGGGTCATTCATATATGGTGTCAGGCGCTACCCTGGACCCTATTTTAAAAAAGGGGATTTTTGAAATATGTATCCACTGGAAGATGGTCAGGCAGGTTGATGATATCAAAGTTTTCTGGTAGACAGCCAGGAAAAAACAATGAGAATGAATGGGAATGGAGAACACAGATGGGAAGAGAAAAAAAACATTCAAATATTTGTATGAAGCTCCCTGATTGGTGCAACCTACTAGTGGTTTGGCCACATCAGTGTGGTCATCTCATCACAGCTGTAATATATTGTAATAATGATCTGATGGTCTCCCTCGATCAGCTCCCGCGTTGCATGAGCCGGCAGTGTTAGGGTGGATGTTTTCAATCAGTAATACTCTAGAGATTCCTGCGTTGGGGGGTGACATCTAAGCAAACGAGCTCGCAGCCATCAGGGTTGCGTGGGTCTGCCAGACCACGATCGCAATCAATAAACGCTAATAGGGTGTTACTGGGTCTGTATATCCAGGCCTGATTCAATTTCAACTTTATTCACTGCTGTACGTGACAGAATGAGCGAAACATGTCTGTCCAGTGCTAAAACTGCGAATGTGTAACGTAAAAATGCAATTACTGAGCTTTTTCCTCCCATCATGCAAACTGTGCCTCGTTAATCAGTGTTTGTGGATCTACGCACGTTAGTGATGCACGGATTGTATTGAAACGTCAGGCATTTGCTGACCCTGATGATGAAAGACCCTCATACTGCCAGAGAGGTTTTATTTGGAAGCAGTTTTTTTTTGTTGTTTTTTTTTTAACAAAGCATTTATGTGTCATTAAACATGACGCACCAAATATAAAAACAACAACGGAAAAACTCCCAATTTGATTGGTGCCCTGGACATAAGCAGAGGACACACTGAGGAAATTTTAGATTCGATTTATATTCTACATTATTGTCATCTCATAAAGTATAGATATACTCAGGCAATGAAATGCAGTTCAGCATCTAACATGAAAGAATAAAATAGTGCAAAAATGCTAGAAACATGGGAATGCATGATAGGTCCTGGAGAGAAGGGGTGCAGCCCAAACACACACACACACACACACACACACACACTCTCTCTCAGGATATATGCTCACTTTCTGCCAGGAGCAGATGCGAGTTTTAGAACGACCCTGATACTCTTAAACTGACTTGGCCTCTAAGACCTCGGCAGGATTGGAAGCGGGAACAATCCCTGCATCAAGTGGGCTGCTGTCAGACTGTGATGTCCAACCCTGCGCTGATGTGGCCTCTGCGGTGAACTGGATCAGACCTACAAGAACTAGCTTGGCTGGAGCGATCCAAACAAGGCATCCCAGCAATGCAGGAGCTATTCTGGCTATTCTGTTACAGATGTAGGATTAGTCATACTTTAGTATGAAGAGGTTGGCTGTACAGGAATAAAACTAACAGGCTTAATTCTGAAATTGCCTAAATTAACTTGAATCATTTTAGTGCTATTGATTGTGCTGAGGCCCCATGAGAGGAAACCAATGGCAAGAAAACAGGAAGAAGCAAGGAACTGTGGGTAGGGACTTTAAGAGGCCCTCGGGGGAATTTTCCCCTCTGTGTTTTTCCCAGCTAATGTGAGGCGCGTTGCTTGATCTAGCAGACTCATCTGCGAGATCTGATGACAGACGCCACGCTGTTTTCAAGTTGTCCCACTCAGTGGCCGGAAGTGGTTTGGCAGGGTTGTGGCAGAGCGCTGAAGTTATCTCGCTCTCTCGTCTCGTGATCTGGGCGTGTCTGTCCTTTTGTTCGTAAGACTGATAAATTAGTGTGTGGGAGATAAGAGGCAGATTTAAGGATTTTGTTGGGCTCTGCGATATATTTGGAGCTTGGTACAGGATGTAGGCAAGGGCTGTATGTGAAATCGCAATCTTAGGGGCTGTTGCGTTTTTGTATTTCTGAGCCACGGAGGCAATTACACTTATCAGAGGAAAGAAACTGGGAAACGAAACCAAAGCTGTTAGTACTCAACCTGAAGTTGGGTTTGAGATGGAGCATGTCTCCACCAAGCTACTTCTGTGCTTAATGCTTATCTTTCCATTGTTCTAGTGCTGATTCTTCAGCTAGGGAGACCTAACTGGGGTTGGTCAGAATGCAGCATTTACATTCAAAGTAAACAAGCCGCCCAATGACCCCCGAGGCCCTGGCAGTCACTAGCAGTTATCTCGAGCCCCCCCTACCAGTCCCAGCCGCCCCAGCAGCGTGAGCCAGCCCAGTCACCCATGCTCCCAGGCCCCCTGCCCCCAGCCCATCCTGGACACACCGTTTCCCAGAACTCAGCGTTACTACTCAGGCAGGGGCTATAGCAGGCCAGGAAACGTCTGCTGGGTGCTCCGGAGCCCCCCCCCCCCCCTCCCCCCAAAAACACACACACGCCTACTGCCTTGCCAGCTGTGATAGGGCGTGAAGTCCAGCCCCTTGACTCTCTCACTCTAGCCCCCGCTCTCGTGGATCCAGAAGAGGTCACTCAGGCAATCTGTGCTAGACCAGGAGAAGAGACACGTGTGTCACACACTCTGACCCAGGGAGTGAAGACGCCGACCGGACACAGACCATATACAAAACCGATAGCTGGAAGAAGTTGGATTAACCACCATTGACTGCTTCACACCATTTCCATTTTTAAACCTGTATTTTTGGGTACCCCGTTCTGCGCCCCAGTCTCCGCCATGTCCTGGGGCTGCGGCCTGAGGTACCTTTTCTCTCTGCCCCCTGCCTTGCAGCAGGGGGGCGTGTGCACCCTGCGTGACAAGGACGAGCTGTCCCGCCTGGAGATGGTCCAGAGGCTGGCCAAGGACGGGTGCCGCTTCCTGCAGAAGGTTCCGGAGAGGGCTGAGGTGAGCGCCGTGAGGGACCCCATCCACGCTGTGAGATGATGGATCTCTTCAGTTTAACTTTAAAATTTACTCTTGTCTGTTTGTTTGCTATTGAAACTGTTCTGTATAATCTGTAGTGTCACTGTGATCTATGGGAACAGCAGGTGACTGTGACATACCAGCCACGTGGCATCAGTGTTGGGGCTCGTAGCTGTGGGACCCAAGGGTGTAGTGTAATTTATAAGTGCATTCATAATGCATTATAATCTATTCATAAAGCATTATAAACATGGCTATATGTTATGCCTTTTTATAAATATTTATGGCCATGTTTATAATACTTTATGAATGCATTACAATTAGATTAGAAGGGTGTGTGTGTGTGTGTGTGTGTGTGTGTGTGTGTGTGTATATATGTATATGAAAAGTACAAGTCAGAATGCATCGTCTGCTCAATGTTTCGTTCAGTTTTTTTTACTTGTTTACTTTTTCTTTTTTCAGATGTAATTTCAGTTGGGCGAATCAGTGACAGAGATTGTGATTTGTATGTGTTTATTGGTTGATACGGTTACTCCTATATCTAGCTCAAATCTACCCATTTCCTGTATCATCCTGGCCTTTTATTCTGGTTGTTGTGTACCTTGCTGTCGTTGCTTCTCCACTTTAGGGATAACAGGTGTAATTTCAGGTATAAGCAGGGGCTAGCTAGAAGTTGTGCCCCCCTCACATATTACAATTTTGTGCATTTTAAGGGCCCCTGTAAAGTCCTGCCACCCCACCCCCCGAATCTGCCAGGGTGTCCATTCCCTCAGCATACCCCTGGGTATAGGCATTAACCTGCTCAGGCAAACATGCTAGCAAGTGCAGGTACATGCAGTGCAGGTACATACAGTGCAGTCACATCTTTTAAGGAGGTTTTATTAAAGTTTATTGCAGCAATTGGAGCCTTTAGGTCAGGAGGAAGCAGCAGCGTCTGGCTGATTTGATGGGTGACTCATAATAATAGCTGAGCTCTGTCTCATGCCGAATGGAGACTGAGTGACGGATCTTTTGGTCGTTTGAGATGATGGAGCTTCAGATAACTAAATGTCAGATAATGCCCCTCAAGGTGGACATTGGTGAATTTCTTAAGTTGGGGGGGGGGGGGGGGGGATGTGTAGCCTCCTGCTGGCCATGGACTCAATTCACCAGATTCAACCATGGACTCAACCATCGTGGTAATTCTTGCTTCCCAAGTCGTGTTATTGCATTTTTTGGGAAGGGCTCTATATAAACTCTGTCGCTGTGTACGATCCCACTGATGCCACTGTTCTGACGCAAGAGCTGGTTTCTATATAAGTTCGGCGGCCCGCCTGAACGGCGTGTTCTGATTGGCCGCCGCAGGGCTTTCCCCAGATTGGACAAACTCACAATGGACCGTGGTCCTTTCCTTCCTGGCAGCTGTATACCGTTCAAAACTGATACAATAGCAGGAAAGGCTGGCTGGGGCTCCGCGTGGCATCGGTTTACCGCCGAGCCGTGACTTTGACACCCCCTTTATTCAAACGCTGGGAGATCCGTCCTGTCACTGCCGGGAGGGATGAGCCAAACGCTATCAGTGGTTTAGTATGAGACCCTTCTAATGTTTCGAAGAGTAACACAGCAGGCCAACAGAGTAACTGCTTCAGGCGACATGGTGCCTTTGTGTCACGAGGAGTGTTTTTCCAAAACTAAGAGATTTTAATCAGTATTGTGCTTTGGAATTGGATATGTTGACATGTTTGAAGGAACCCTCCCCCTGATTAGATCTTCTCGGCTGCAGCGGAGAATTAACTCCTGGGAAAGTCCTGTTTGTTTTGAAGGGTGCTGAATTATCCAGGCCTCTGATCTGGCACAGGGCGGCATTGGGCAGGGGTACACCCCAGGCCGGGTGCCAGGACCACGCAGGGCAAACACACAGTCACACCGCGGGCAGTTCAGAGATGCCAGCTCACTGTGTTTATGAATTATAAGAGGACACCCACATGACAGGGAAAATATGCAAACTTCTCCCACAAAAGGGTGGGATTCAAACCCCAAACCCTGGCGTTCTGAGGCTCCAAGAGCTACCCATCACCCAGTGCTGATTCGTGAATTTTAATTTCCTTATGATAATATAGATACAAATTTGTCAGTTTGGCTTTACGGTTTGGTTTAGCTATTAATTATTCAGCTTTGATCTTACTATGCAGCAAAGCATTGTGGGTAGCCATGCACAGAGACATGGTATGAGACTAACATATGTGCACTACATATTCTGACAAATTGGTGCCCATGTTTTCCGTCCAGTTTATGGAAGGAATTAAACGTCATTCTGTATTATTAATTTGATGTTAAGAACAGACACCCGTGTGAAAAAACTCGCACACACCTGGCTGGGATGTATGTGAGCGCCCCCTCCTTGCCAAGACCCCCTATTTCCTCTGTCGTGGATTCGCATTGTGATGGAGGTATGCAAGGAATCTGTCAGACAGGAAGCCTGTGAAGTCATAGATGGCAGTGATGGGATGAGATCATTACCAGCGATAGCTCTGTATAGTAAGTGTTTCCCATCATGCGACAGTTCGGACTGTCTGGTGTCTCCCTATAGAGAGAGGATGGGGGATTCTGGCGTTTTTTAACTGTCTATTGGAGACGTATGTCTTTGGCAAAGTGGATTAGGACACTGTGTCTGTGTTTGGAAGGTCGCAGGTTCGAATCCAAGAGCAGAATAATTTCAACATAGGGCCTCTAAGCAAGACCCTTAACCCCTGATTGCTCCCGGGCCTGGCTGTGACCCCATGTTCTCAAAAAGAAAAAAAAAAAGTGTGTCTGCTTAAAGTTAAATGCTCCAGATGTCAGTGCACAGGTGGTTCAGCACCAGCATGTTTAATGAGAACTGGGAGCCCGAACCTTCAGGACCCGGTTGCGGTGCGAGGGCCGCGTTTATTCCGGAAGCTATTGCGTAACACGCTCCTGAGTGTTCCTAGTAGCCTGGCTCGCTGTCCAAATTTTATATTTTGCCATATTTTCTAAGCCCGTTCGGTTAGCCCGCTGCCCCCTCTGTGCAGAACGCGAAAGCACAGACTGACTGTACCCCTGGTTCCCTGGGGTCTGGCCCCCAGAGAAGGTCAGTGCTGGGCTGTGGCTTGTGGTTTTCCGTAGACTAACTATTTGCTATCCGGTACATCGCTGACATTTTTTCCCAGCGGCCTCTGCTGGAGTGTTTGTTGATGTAAAGTGATTTAGAACGCGTTACATAACCTGGCTTCGACATGGTCACCGTCGCAGCCAGAGCGTTTTTCTTTTTTTTTATGGGAGAAGAATTCCAGAAATCGGACGTGAGCTTTACATGGGCACAATGGGGGAACGCGTTGTGTTTATCAAATGGGATTGTGGGGCTGGAGAGTATTTTGAGTGGATGGGGGGGGGTGTCAGGGAAGGGGGCTGTTGTTTAGGAAATTCTGGCTGAGGGCCAAGCCATGCTTACGTCAAGCCCAAGCGAGCAGGTCGTCGTCAGTGGGCTGGATGGCTCGGTCGCCACGGCGACTCGGCCCAGTCCACGCTTTTGAGTTGGGGGGCCGAACCTCAGCAGGTGTTTCCTGCAGCACGGGATCCTTCACGTGCGACATGAGATCCTGTCGTGTCTGGATGAGGGAGGATGTCGGATCAGCGTCTCCCCCTAATGGGGGGGGCGCAGGGCTGGGGACCCGATGACGTTTCTTGGCTGAGGTTCAGACATTCCTTGGGCTTGGGCCAGGGGTCTGGAGAACGGCAGGCCAGCGCGGAATTTCGGGGTGGAGCAGCACGCAGACGGGTCAGACACTTCAGTGGGGACATTGTGTTCAAGAGCTCTGCAGCCTGTGCACCCTTCCGTGTGGGGGTGGGGGGGGGCTCCTCTGGTGACCAAAGATGGTAGAAAACTAAAGACGGTGGTGGGATGTGTGCTGGCTGATCCTGCAGGGGGTGTGGCTGAGGCGGGGTGTACTCAGGAGGACCTGAGGAGCATGGTACTGGCGGGGGCGGGGGCTCTCCAGAGGCCTCTATCACAAAGCCAGATTTCTTTCTTAGTTGGATAACTTGTCAGATTTAAGGTGGCCCAGTTTAAATGCACTTTATTTTAGTTCACTTGTATTTAGCCCAGACCACCTTAAATCAGACAAGTTATCCAGCTAAGCAGAAATCCTGTTTAGTGATACAGGCCCCTGTGCTGTTCCTCCGAATGCAGGAACATTTCTGCACTCTGATTGGGTGCTGGCTGGCGAGTGGGCGGTGACGGCGGGTTCAAGAGAGCCATCAAAAGGAGGCAATGGGTCAGGGCGCACCTCTGAAACCCCCCCCCCCTTCCTCCCACCCCCATTACACAACCCCACCAATTGGGGGGGAGAAGCTGCTACGGCTGCAGACAGGCGGGACAAACGTGTAGGAGATGTGAACCAGCCAGTCGAAACTGTGGCCGATTCGCCTGGCAAAGGTGGTCGTTAGAGGGCGAGTCATTGGCTCTGGAGTGTCACGACACACAAGAAGAGTAAACATCACGTGTCCTGCGGGGGGCGTCTTCCTGAGAATTACAGACGGGAGATCCTGGGGAACGTGTGGACTGTACTGCGAAAACACCTGCACCGAAAGCCGTCCCGGCTGAATAAAGACAAACATTTAAAGTAAATGCACTGCGTTTACACAGATGGCAAAGCGATTTACACCATTTACAAGAGAGGTCAAAGTGAACGAGTCCATAATGGATGTGGGTTTGTTTATACGTGTCCTACCTGTCTGTGAAAGTGTACGGCTGTTGTTGACCTTGAATCTGCACCACAGCTGGGTACAGTGTTGTGAGGTTTATCTAACGTCACTTTAGATAGTGACTAGACCACTGTCACCTTTAGATAAGGCGAAGTACATTTACAAAGAAAGCATGGTCAGACAGTCCCTGGAGAGATTGGGGGTTAAGGGCCTTGCTCAATGTCCAACAGAGACATCACTCTGCCAACCCTGGGATTTGAACTAACAACCTTCTGATTACACATTCTTGCTGTGAGTCACTGCCTCCTCTCTCAGAAGGTTCTTGTATCTGTAGTGTGTTCAGTCATGTTGCCGTGTGGCTCCTTGAACAGCGGATACAGTAAAATTTCCGTCATTGATCTTGGAACCTGTGGAGGATGCCGGTGTACCACATGGGAAAACCAGCTCTCGGCCCTGTGAGAGCCTCCCCTCAGCTGCGTTTCCTCTAGAGAATGTTCCAGGGAAGGAAAGTTATGCCGCTAAAGTCAAACTAAGAGGTGCATTGAGGATGAAGCCGTTCAGAGCGGCGCTTTGGTCCTCGCTATGGCGGTGCGGGACCCCACAAGCCATTGGTGAAACATTCCTAATCAGTACTTGAGTTCTCCCTGGGGTGGCCCAGGACCCCGGTGGCACACGCTACGCCACTGTGGAGAATTTCCTGCAAAATGTCCCACATTAGCCGTTACATGGTAAGCAGCTGGCAGCCATGCTTCGGAAGCAGGAGATATGTGGGATTTTTTAAGGTGTTATTTATAATTGCTGCTGGCTGTATTGTAGGCTTTTAAAATGCATGAGGAAAACCGCAGTATCCGTCTCTAAATTATTAGAATCCATGACGTTAAGAAGCTGTTGGAAACTAGTAGGTCATGTGTATGTGAATGTAGAATCACTCTTGTTCAGCATAGCTTGTTGCACAGGAAGTCCCTCCTACTGCTCAGTGACAGATGGTTCAAACAACCAATGGGCTGGCTGTGCTCATTATAATTGTCCTGAATGGGATTATGGACCGTGCCTTGCTTGTGGTTTTTGTACCTGAAATTCGCTGTTCGTTATCCTCTGCTCTGCGTGCCACTGGCAGGAACAGTGACGTAATAAATCTTGTTTTCCTATGGTTGACCTAAATGGTTAATTAGTCTAATCAGTTTTCAAAGCACTTGGATGGTGCCCAGTCTCTACCATGGCTCCCTGTATATTGTGCCAGATTTTCTGGATGTTTTTCTGGCAGCTTGTGCATAGATCTGGCAAGTGGGCAGATTGCAAATTACATTTGTGCCGCATGGTGTCCCGAGGGGAGCCAGTGTGGTCTGGCGCCTCCTGGGCTAAGGACCCCCCCCCCCCAGCTCTGTCTGTGTGAATGATAAGGGTACTCTGGAGGAATTGGTGTCTTAGTCACCCTTGATCACATCTTTACAGACTGTACCCAGAGATTTCTGGGATAGACCTCTGGCCTCCCTGCATTAATGGGGCGGTGTGTTAGGGTGCTGTGCCTGTAGTCTGACAGTGATTCCCCCATTGGGGCCGTCAAATTGCGTAATGGGTGTGAATGAGTGTGAGAATGGTACCCTGACCCGGGCTATTCCCTGCCTGGCGCCTGTCTCTCCCGGTACCCTGACCCGGGCTATTCCCTGCCTGGTGCCAGTCTCTCCCGGTACCCTGACCCGGGCTATTCCCTGCCTGGCGCCTGTCTCTCCCGGTACCCTGACCCGGGCTATTCCCTGCCTGGTGCCAGTCTCTCCCGGTACCCTGACCCGGGCTATTCCCTGCCTGGCGCCTGTCTCTCCCGGTACCCTGACCCGGGCTATTCCCTGCCTGGCACCTGTCTCTCCAGGACTGTCTGAGCCTGGTTTCTCCACAACGTATGTCACTTTGGATAAAAGTATCTGCTAAATAAATGTAATGTGCTACTTTATGATAAAATGCTTTGTGTGGCAAATGACATCATCAGTGTCTGGAAAAAGACCTGTGTGCTTGTATGCCAAGAAGCTGGGGTGTAGAATGAAATACATGATGCTTTACTGATCATTTATTGATAATTTATTACAGGAAGTTTTTTTAATGCCCATAGTGTGTAAATGAGACATTATTACTGCAATAACACGTCTCCTTTTGGAACAGGTGGGAACCTGTTTCTCACATTATTCTCCTTTGCCTGGAATTTGGCAGGATTTCTTAGACATTAAATTGTTCTTGGAGTGGAGGGGGTGGTAAAGTCAGGGGGGTCGCAGGAGTGAACTGGGGCTTATGGGGCGTACTGGGGCGTGACAGTGTGGAATCAAATTTGTTCAGAACCGGTGAGATTTGATCTGGAGCCTCAAACCGGAACAACGAATGGCTCCCCGGCTTCGAATGATTAACTGTGAAATGAAACTGGAAAATGGAAGTTGGGAGGGGGGTCTGTTCATACAAAAGGGGGGGGGGGGGGTGGGGGCCCAAAGAAACTGCTCTTTGTTGCGGGGGATGTTTCTGTGAGATGGAATTAGGCCCTTCCCCCTGTGAGCTCTGTCAATCACAGCTCGGCCCCCCCCATTCTCAGCCCCACAGTCAGGAGGCTGTACGCGTCTATCTGAAGGAGCGTGGTCAGGATGTGTTGGTGCTCCAGCGGGTGTCATCAGAGCAGCTGCTCCCCCCGGCAGCAGTGGGGGGGTGGGAAGAGGACAAGGACAGGCGGTAAGCCCTCCGTCACACCTTCCCCCTCTCTCTCTCTCTCTCTCTCTCTCTCTCCCTCTCTCTCGGCTGTCTCCCTCCCTCGCTCCCTCCCTATCTCTCTCTCCCCCCCTCAATCATTCTTTCTGTCTCCCTCCTCTCTCCCACTGGCTCCGCACGCCTCGCCACACACACACACACACACACGCACTCACGTACTCAGGAGGGAGTATACAGGACACCGGCTGCCGGTTACTAAAGCAGGGTACTAGGGGCTGGAGCAGGGAGCAGCTCAGCAGGAGGGCTGGGAGAGGGACGGCATCCCGGGACTGCCAGCCAGCACGTTACGGGACCCTGGGGGAAGTGGCGCCCCCCTCAGGCTGAGGGTGGAGGTGCAGAGGGGGGTATGCAGCAGCAGGTCCCGGGGTGCGAGGACAGGAGCAGGACGGCGCGGCCATGGCCTCCACGCGGCAGCCCCCAGACCTGAGGCGCGCCACGCTGGTGGTGCAGGAAGAGGAAGAGGATGAGGAAGGCTCCGACAGGAGCTGCGGCCACCCGAGGGTGCCGGCCTTCGACGTGCCGTACTTCCGCTACATCGATGACGATGAGGAGGAGGGGGAGGTGGATGGGGACGAGTGGCTTGCCAGCCGCTCCCCGTCATCCAACGAGGAAGACTCTGTGACCGACTCGCCCACCTCTGCGTCCGACAGGTACGTGGTGGTGTCCGGGACGCCCCAGAAGATCCTGGAGCACCTGCTGAGTGACCTGCGGCTGGACGAGGGCCAGGGGGCGACACCGGGCAAGGAGGCGGGTGAGTGAGCGGAGGGCGTGTGTGTGTGTGTGTGTGTGTGTGTGTGCGCGCGCGCGCGCTGCGGGATCACCTCGATCAGCAGAGGGGTGTGACTCTCCTTAACCGCCTGGGGTACAGGGGACGTAGGCCCTGGCTGATGGTAATTACTCTGTTGAATTCGTATTATCTCTGGGAAGTTGGACTGAGACGGACCCAAGGAGAAACTCATGTATAGTCAGTACGTTTTTGGGCACACCCATGGTTTCAGCTCAGCTCAGCGGTGATCATCGTCCCCAAACAGACTAATGTTGATTCTCTGCCCCTGGGAGCAGTCGCTATGTTTACGAAGTTCCCCTCCTGGGCCGGCTCTGTGTTTAATCACCGTTTATCAAGCTCTGGAAAGTATTCTGTCTGCGGGGCGGGTCCCTGTAGCGAGAGGCGGAGCCACAGCTGGCGGTGTCTTGGAAGTCGTACTTATGCCTGCCTGCAGCCAGCGAGCAGGTGGAAGTTTGGGGCGTTCCACCCTTTTCGGTTCCTGCCACCTGCTGATTGATTTGAATCGCAATTCCCGTAATTTTTGGTGGAGTTGTTCTCCGTCCTGGGTTTATGGTCGTGGTGGTTTCGGCATGGTACACCTTCGACATGTAAGAGGTCATGACCGTCCCTAATGCTTCCCCTACCCCTAAGACAACTGGCAGAGACATTGTTAAACATTATAGAACCAGATCAAATCATTAAGATCATTTAGATTGAGTTTAATGCATAACTTGAAGTTTTCTGTAGGAGATGTTAATAATTCCATTTTCCCCGCACCACTCTGTAATTCAGTTAATTCTCTCTCATCTCCGGTACTTAGTTTTCCCGGAGCCACAGTACGAATTATGCAAATTGTGTTATCTCATTAACGATATGGTTTTCTGATACACAAACACGCACCTCAGGCGGTCCCAGAGCGCTGGAATGTTCCTCCTATTGATGGTAAACTCTCCCATGCTGTGCTGTTCGACATCCCCATCAGCAAGTTCTGATGCGGGGTGCCTGGGCTCCCAATCGGGGTTGGGGCACACCTCTGGAATGGAGCCCGCCGCAAACAGCGAGTCGAAACACGACTCTGACGTCCCACATACTTACACCAAGGTCTATCGCTGAAATTCCCTGGAGATGTGCGTGTTTCCGCTCTCATTATAACATTAATTTGCGATCTTCCCTTGAGGGTCAGGTGCCTCTACTCACTTCTGGAATTCAGACCCAGTTAGTGGTTTTACACAGTCTGCTCTATTGATGTCAAATTTTTATTTCAATCTGAGAGATTCTGTGTGACAGGCCAAACAAACGATCACAGAATGAAAGTGAATTCGAACAGCTGCTGAAGTTTCACTTCAGGGTTTTTAGTAAAACGAGGAAAATATAATGTGACTTATAATCAGAGGCGCCATGAAGGAGGAGAAGTTGGAATGATTCAGTTGGCCCCTAGGAAACTGGGGCCCTAAAATATTTGGAGCATAATTGGATCGGTCTGGGTGGGGGACCCAGTAGGTGATGTTTTCAAGGGATCCGGAATCCGTAGTGACGTTCCTGCTCATGATCTGTTAACAAACGCTTTCAGCGGGAGGCTATTTTGGAGGATATTACATCCACTAGGCCGTGAACAGCAACTTGGGGTGTGATGGATGTTGATGGTGCCGTCTTGGGGCCAGCCAGCCTGTCACCACAGCAGGTCATGGGGTTCAATCACAAAGACGCACCGGTATTCGCTAAGGATAAGGAGGACACCGAAGACGCTGGTCCCGTGATTCCTTTGGTTGGCGCTTGTCAAACACTGGGGGCTGAGCAGATGCACGGTGAATGACGACCACCGCTCCCGTTTCTGAGGCGGAGCAGAGATTTCAGAAAATCCACAATGATTCCTATTGATGGCACGTT